AATGCACATGAAAAAATGCTCAACATCATTAGCCACCAGGGAAGCACAAATCACAATCACAGTGAGACATCTCTCAAGACGCAGTGGCACCATGAAAGAGGCCATGGATGGGACTGAGGGGCCCAAGTGCTGGTCCTGCTCTGGCTCCTTGTGCACTAAATACAAAAATTTGTTTCTTATTTTTTTCTTGTACTACACAACAGGATTCTCATTTGTGTCATAGCATCTATTGCAATGAGAGTCTTTTTTTGTGGCTCCCATACAAACATTTATGAACTAAGGAAAGTAATACCATGACATTTCACCTGACTAATTTGAAAATAATAGAAAAACTCTTAGGAGGAAAGAAGGTCCATAATTTCAACTTTTCTAAGAAATAAAGTTTTCCTTGAATACTTTCTTAATTTATGGATTTTCTCCTTTGGTAGCATAACATCTACTGTAACTATATGAAAGGGTTAATTCAACTTCATTTTGTCTTACCTCATTCCCAGAAGGAGAAAAATTACTTTCTATCATGTGCAATTTGGTCTTATGCACTTCAGTGTCGACTCTAATAAGTTCTTCTAAATATTACATCTGGAAAGTAGGTGAAAGAACTGAAAATACTCAATGCCTCGGTTCACAATGCTTCTGATTGCAAACAATTCAGTTCCCAACAAAAGCACTGGGCAAAATTTTGCTTCTGTTCGCAAGCTCTGCATGGGGTGACAAACATGACCATCTTCCTCACACAAACGAGAACACACCATCTTCCCCAAAATTGTAAAATAAATTAAGTTCATAAACCGAAGCACCACTGTATTTAGTTTGGAAAAAAGAAATCTTTTTCTTTCTAGTTCTCTCTCTTTCTCCCTCACCCTGCCCCCACCCATATTTATCTATCTCTATCCATCTTTGTAACTGTAATCAAAGGGATATACTGTAGAAAAAGTAGATATTTGATATCAGGCATCTATAATAGAAAGGTGGGATGTAAGGGTTCCCATAGGTAAGGGTCACTGTGCTGGTTCTTACTTATGGCATGAGTAAGAAAGAAAACACGAGGGCATACTCTTAGAGCGGCTGGGTAGCTGCCACTTATATACAAACTGTAATGTTAGGAAATGAGATCATAAGAAGTTGTACGTTTGGCTTATCTGAAGGTGACTTTGGTTTTGGAAATAGTTCAAAGTGGTCCATCTGGAATCATCGTGCTGGACAATGCTGCTAGGCAAGTTAAAAAATAAACATAGTACAGGCATCACCATAGAGGACTGAAGCTGATTTTCTTGGCATGTCCATAAACTCAAAATGAAATAGGAAAGAGTTCTTCAAAGTGTCACTTTGAAAATGTGTCCAGTTATGAAGACATTGGAGGGAGCTGCACTCAATGAGTTTCTAATTCTGGAATGATTTTCAAAGATTAGTCTCATACAGCCATGTCTAGGTGAGAGATTGTTTATTTCTTTTGATAGAGCATTTCTAAGGCTGCTAGAAGATCCAGTCCAGGCTTCCCCCACTAGAGAACGGATCACATTCCATGGAAATCTTAAAAAGACCCAGTAAGGCTGTCAGGCCTGGCCTCTGTGTACTCCAGCTGCACTACCCTGCCTTTGGCTCTTCACTCTCTGGTGGATTTATTTATCTGCTGGCTCAGCAGCATGGTCTTTCTGGAGGTCACTACCTGCATAGCACATGCTCACAGCTGGACAGCTGCTGGAGCCAGCCACGTCCAAACACCTGGGGTGGCTGCCTGCTTTGTGTAATCTGGAGCACTGAGGGCCATCTGCAATCCTTTTTTAGAAGGGGCAGAGCCTGTCTCCTCTCAAGAGGGACCTGCTTAAGTAATACATTCTGTCAGAGAAAGTGCACGTGAGAAATCGTGATTCAGGTTTATATAATGAATGAGACCAGAGGCTTCTCTGGACAGCAGACTTTGGTAAGTGGAAAAAGAGATCATTAGGGCAGATGACATGGTGCCAAAGGGACTGGGGAGGAGACTGAGCAGCTGAAGACAGGCGCTGGGAATGACATCACAGCTTTGTTTCAAGTCAGTCTTACAAGTCTATATTGATGAAGGAAGAAATGGGCAGCCATTATCACAGAGCATTCTCTTTTATTAGTTAAAGATCTCCAGATTCAATCTGCAGGGCTACACCACTGATGGTTATCTTCCCATCAAACATTTCCATACCCCAAAGTATCAGCCCTCTGTTTGTGGGTTCACCTTCTTCCACTCTTGGCCAGGGACTTTGGATGGGGATAAAGCATCTGACTTAAGCTTGGACAGTCAATCCATCATGATTTTCTATGCTCAGTGATTGGTTTAGGGTTAGCAGCAACAGTGACATTCAATGATATTTTTGCTAGGACTAAGGCAGAGGTCTTTGTTGTAAGATTGAACCTCAGAGGACATAAAGCTGGATTTCTCCCAGTCATATGGAAACTACCAGGAACCTGAGACTGAAGCCAATACAGGGCAGACAGAGCAGAGAGCTAGAAAGAACTGTCTCAATGACATTGCTTGTACTCTGAATTCAGCAGGTCCCGAAACCTGGTTTTCCATTGGACTTTTTAATTCTTCTTCTTCTTTCTCTTTTGGTTTTAGTTTAGTTTGAAGCATCTGTTTGTCATCACAGAAGCTATGACTATGTTATGATTCCAGTTTCATGTAGCTGGCAGACAAGGGCAGGGGCAGGTAGGGCAGGACTATTGACAGAAGTTGCAGGGTGATGAGCTGCAGTACTCCACAAGGAAGAGATTTCAAGAGTATGAGGAGAGTACTAGCTCCCTCAAGGGTGAATGTCTTTTCTTTGGCAGGATTTGCAATCTGCACAGAATGGTCTCTTGGAGAGGCCGCTATAGAATAAATACATTCAAGCATCAAGTGTGTGTGTGTTGGGGGGCGGTGAGTTGAGCACTCTTTAAATCTATGTGTTTTTAAAGTCATTTCTTAGAGACCACAGGAATAGAGTTACATGCCCTTTCAAATTCCCTCTCCAAGTATCTCTAACATAAACAAGAAATGAGAAAGAAAATGTGGCTCAGGCATTGTTATTCTGTGCTCCCAATGACAGCCCTGGGGGGGAAGAACTGCCTCTATCGCTAACCTAACCTGGGCTCAAATCACTGCATGATTCCTCAGCTCCCATTTTCTCCAGGGCAAAGATGGATTATGGGTGCTAGGACCCAGCACACAGCTTTGTTCAGGGTGCGCTCAGTTGGTGCTTACAGGCAAGTGATGTCTCAGCATATGGGGCTCTAGTTAGGATCCCCATCTGAAGCACAGCTACTTGGCAATGTCAGATGTGGTGATTAGGATTCCCTGGGTTGATGATAGGCTCTCCTATACCACTTTTCCAGCCCATGGGAATCCAACTGTGCTGAGAGCAGCTGCTGGGCCCAAGAGGAAGAGACAGAACCAGGCCATCTCTTTCAAGTCTTTGCTATTCTGCCTGCACCTGACACTGCACGTGCCTGATGAGATACAAAGTCATGCATACATTTGTTCATTCAGCAAACTCTCATCAAGAACCCATGGTGTGGCAGGCTCCGGTTGTACAGTGCTGAGCACAGTCCCTGTCTGTGGGCTTCCACTAAGGCCCCCTTCCACCCAGCCTGCACTGCCCTGCTACTCTCTCCTGAGATGCCTTGGCTCGTACCCAGGGCCTGCCCTGGGTTCCCTTTGGGGTCAGGTCTGTTTGTCCTTTGCTGATGCCACAGCCCTTGTCTTCAGGTCTTCTACCTGCTCCTCCTTTTACCCTAGAGGATACAGCTCCTAATCTTAATCTGTGCCTCGATCACAGAATCCTGGCTGTGGATCTAAAATCCTGGATCTAAAATCCAGGCCTGGGCTCCCCAGGAACAATTTAATGTGCACAATGATTGTGAGTTTTACATTTTAAATATGCATTTGGGTTTAATTAGTAAAGCCCAGTTCAAATTCTAAGAAAAGTATGCATGACCCTGACAGATGACTGCAAAGAAAAGCCAAGACTCTTGAGGTCACCACTCCCTGGGAAGGGTGAATTTTTGGCTCTGAAGTCTGAGGATGCGGCTCCTAGTTCTACCTGCTGCCCAGCTGCCTGAACGCTGTGCCAGCGAAGAGCGACCCTGCCTGCCTGCCGTGCACAAAGGGATGTGTCAGGCTCAGGCTCTTTTCTTTTTCACATTTCACAGCGCAGCAGCCCAAAGCTGATGGGGTGGGGGAGGCAGGATCCGGTCCCCATGGACCACTTAGCACTGACTCGTAGCATGGTGGGAGCCAGGGTCACGTTTTGCGCTCAGTCTGGGCCAGGGCTCTGGCTCCTGACTGATACCTCCACAGAGCAAAGCGAAGCAGAGAGTGATCTTGGGAAACTTCGTGTGCGTGCGTGCGTGTGTGTGTGTGTGTGTGTGTGTGTGTGTGTGTGTGTGTGTTGTGTAGGCGTGTCGGTTGGAAAGGTGTAGAGAGGCAGAAAGCTGGAAGGAAGGAGCGCTCCTGGGCAGGGACAAAGGGTGCTAACGCTGCCCCAGTCCGAGAGAATCCTCAAAGCGCCTGTACACTACATGCCCACGTGCGTGCGTGTACCAGGGGAGCAGAGGCCAGAGAGTGGGAGTCGGAGGCAGAACCAAGAGACGCAGAGGGACCGCAGGCAGAGCTCCAGCGAGCGCGCTGCCCGGGAGCGCAGACCAGCGGCCGCCCACTGGCGGGGGAGCCTCGGAGGGGAGGCGGCGGCAGGGCTTTCCCGGGCTTCCTCTCTCCGCGTCGCAGGCGCCCGGCGCGGGTCCAAAGCGCAGAGGTGGCGCCCGAGCGCTAGGGGTCCGGGAGTCCCCGAGACGCCCCGGCTTCCTCGGCGGACGCGGGGCCCGAAGCGCCAGGAGCGGCGAGAGCAGCACCGCGGAGCCCTGGGGCCGAGGGCGCGAGGTGTGGGCTGAGCCCTCCCCGCCCAGCCCGCTCCCGCGGCGCCCGCCCCTCGCCCCCGCCCGCGGCCTGGAGCGCACCTCCCCCGCCGCCCAGGGTCTGGCAGCCGCGCTGGCGGAGCTTCGGAAGCCGCGGAGAGCACCAGCCGCCGCCGCGGGAGCCAGTCCGGCCGCACCATGCGAGAGCTGGCCATCGAGATCGCTGTGCGAGCCCTGCTCTTCGGGGTCTTCGTGTAAGTAGTGGCGCGCGGCGGGCGGGGCGCACCGCCCGAGCCTCTCTGCGCCCCAACTTTGTTTGCGCCGCCGCATCCCTCCGGGGCCTGGATGGGAGGTCCCCTCCTCGCCTGATGGCTAGAAGGTGTCCTAGGAGCCCCAGAGAGACCCCCATTCCTGGGACCCTCGACGCAGAGAGACCCTCACGCACCCCGCTGGACCTTCTCGGCCCCAGCCCAGCCGCGCTGTGCTGAAGGGCTGCAGTTCTGAGCTCCCCGCAGGCCCCTCTCTCCGGCCCCACACCCCCGTCCTGTTCGGGGGGTTTTAGGCTGCTCCCCTGCCTTAGGACGGCGCCCTGACCGGCACGCGCCCTCCGGAAGTTTCTCCCTCTGTGTGATCTTCCCGGGCCGACGCTGGAGGTCTTTGCTCTTGGTCCCATCCATTCTCCCCGCACACCCTCCGCCTCGTCCAGGGCCAGGCTGGGTCGCTGGCTCCTGTGCCCGCGGTTTGCTGAGTGTTTCCGCAGGAGGCGTTTGCAGTACTTCTCCCGCTGGAAAACTGTTGCCGCGGAGGCTCGGCCACTCAGGTGCCTCAGCCTGGGTGTGGGCTGAAAAGCTCCTTTGAGAGCGGATATCTGGTTCAGGTGTGCGGAGAAGCCCTCCCGGGAGGCAGCGAAGTGCCCTGGGGTCTCTGAGCTGCTGGCACCTGGGAACAGCAGTTTCGGAAAGGGAGGGGGCACTTGTGCTGCAGATTCTTGGGAGATGTTTTCCTTTCCTTGGGTACCCCCAGACTGCCACCCGCCCCCAGGGCCCAAGAGGCAAGGGGGTGTCACATCTCTGTTTAAGAACTGAGCCCAGGCTCCAGCTCACCCTGCACCCTCCTGTCACCTGAGCCCCCACATCTGCACTTGTCCCTCTATTAGCAGGCCAAATTCTCTCCATCCCTCTGCCCATGAATCTTTTCTGACACATTTTAAATATTACAGTTGCATGAACTTTCTGGTTGCCACTTTTTGGTAAAAACTCCACCAAGATAAACAGGAGGCCCCTCTCTGGATTTCTGCCCCAAACCGATTCATCCATGGCAGGTGTGCCATGTCAAAGATGACTTCTGTTCTTGCAGCCCAGGGTGTACACACGGGAAAAAATGCCCCTTTTTGGCATGTGTTTCTTTACTAGGGATTAGATTCATCCAGAGTGTTTGTTCACACCATCAGAAAAGGCCATGAGCTCCCCCAGATGCAGGCAAGCCCCCCTCTGCAGCCTTCTGACTGAACACTAGTGTTATTCACTAGAAAGGACTGAGAACTTCAGCTGGGTCCCCATGCCTTTGGAAAACAAAGCGCTCTCCCCTCCTCTTACTCTGTCTTTCTATCTTTGGAGTAAATATTAAAACTAGCGATTGCTGTGTGATCAGATGGGGAGAGTGTTCAGTTGGCAGATAAGCTAAAGTCCCATTAAATTATTATGTGATAGAAATGATAAAATCATCTTCAGTGCATGGTAGAATTAACATTTGCTGGGTGAATACTTGTGTGAAAAATGCTGAAATAAGGTGAGATTGGCTCTTAGTCTACCTGCTTTGATTGCTGCAGGGAATTCTTATTTTAAAAATGGTCCAGTGAAATGTAAAATATTTATATTGTTTTCAACTTTCCCTTCAAATATTCCCCCAAACATTTATGAGACATTTACAAATATACAGTGGCCTGTGCAGTGAATTTGAAAACTTGGTGATTATTGTTTTTGTGCTACTGGCTTCTACTAAGGATGTTATGTAAAATCATTTTACATTCTTTGTGTTCCAAAGTTCCTCTTTGTATTTCTTAATGTGGGATCTGCTAGCATCTCCCTCAGTGCTACACAAATGGGTATTGAAGGCATGTGGGTATGATGAAAGGTTTCATATCAAATTGGAAATGTTAACTTGTGGGTCTCTGTTTTGCAAAGATTGGCTTTGACACTGATGCAAGCCCCGATGGGGCAGGGCTTGGATGCTCTGATACTCTTATCAGGCAGATGTGACTTCCAGAAGACCCAAAGAACAGACACAGCTGACCCCTTGTTTTCCCAGATAGGCTTTTGGTGCCTTGACAGAGGCTGGCTTTGGGGAAATGTTTCATTCTTTCTTTTGTCAGGGCTGGAGGGATGGCAGAGTTTGGTGGGTACTGAGCAACTCTGCCCATGAGAATGATGGTCTTCCCAGCTAGGGAAGGATTGTGAAGAACTTTTGGGACAGGCAAATCTTATTTCCCTGCTGCAGGGTCCAGGTTAGCTGATATAATCGATCACCCATTTTGGCTTGGTAGGGTGACCATATTTCCCAGGATGAGAGACTAGTTTTCTGAGAGGGAAGTGTATTTCACTTCTGCAAATTCATGCTCTGAAGAAACTTCACCTGTAGACGTGCTTGGTTTCTGACTAAATTTGCCCTACTGGGGAGCAGGGATCCCACTGCACCAAGCCCACATGCTCCCTATAGATTCCAAATTAGATCTAATGAAATGTATTTTGGACCCATAGGTAGCAGGCACCTAAGTAATTTTGTTTTGTTTTGTTTTTTAAGGAAATGTTTTCTGTTAGCAGATCAGATGTGGAGCTGATGTTTTGTGCAATGAAGATCCCAAGAGGAAACTCTCTGGATAATTTTCACAGATGGTTCAGAGCCTTTTACACAGCCCAGACTAAGATCTTCAAAAAAGAAGAAAATTAGCAAACAATAATGCAAACCAGGCTTGGCATGCAAAGTTTACCCTGAGAAGTTTGCCCAGTGTTCAGGAAAAATAAAAGTACAATGTGTAGCTTGGGGGCTAATTTAGGGTTCTGAAGTTTGTGGGTTTGTGGCCCTGTTGCTCTGACTCAGGGACTGGGCAAAACAGGGAAGAGCAGTATCTAGGGGGCTCCTTCTGTTTGCTGCCACCTAAGACCCCAGCAGGGGTTTGGTGAGTGGTCTCACAGATGTCAAAGCTGGAGCTGGATCATGGTCTGCAGCATGTAGCTGCTAGTCCACAGCCTGGTGGGGTACTATTTTGAGTATACCATTTACCTTTATTGCTATCGCTTGTAAAGCACCTCTTGTTTGTTGAGGGCTTACTGCACATCAGGCAGTAATGAAAACTGTCACATATCCATTTACCTGATGAGGGAGTATATTGATATATCTTTGTCATAGGTTGAAGCAACTGAAGCACAATCAGATTAAGAAGCTGGCCAAATTACAGAGCTAAGAAGCAGTTCTGAGATTTAAATTCAGATACTGAAGGTAAATAGTCTGAATCTCATCACCTTGCTTCAGGAAAAGTGCAGCCAGCGTTGGTCAGTTGAGGGCTTACTGTGTGCACAGGGCGTGCCACATGATTTCTCTTTGAAGCCTCACCTCATTCTGAGGTGAATGCTGCTTTTCCCCCACTTTACAGGTAAAGAAGCTGAGTTTCAAAAAGGGTGAGTGACCTGCCTGCTTGGTCAGCTAGGTAGAGGTCTCATGTGGATGTAAACTGGCGGTAGATCCTCTGTCCCAAAGCCATGAGCCACTGAGATAGAAGGTGTCCACCATTGTGCTTTACAAAAGTGAACTCATTCTATGAGCAAGTCATTTTTGTCACCTGTTACTTTCAGGCGAGCACATGGATGTAGCCTATATACATGTGAACAAATATTCTAGCTCTAAAATTAAATCTCAGGATGACACTTCTAAAGTGGAGGGAGATCAGGGATGGTTCAAACTCCCTGGAAGATGGGACTTGGACATGCTACAGATTGGAAGGTAGGATGTAGTTCGTGAGTATATTGCTGGAAAGAAGTTAGATGGCCACAGGACATCAGTTAGTTCAGAAAGTCCTGTCTTCACAGCACTGCAGAAAGGACCTGGAAAGATAACAGCCATCTGGAATGTTGGGCTGGGGTGAACGTGTGTCTGCCTGCTACTTGTCAGCCTGAGTTTCTTGCGCTCCTCTATCCCTCTGTCTCTAGGGTCCTTCCTTTCTTTCCTCCCTATGGCTCCTGATGCTCCCTGTCTGCAGTATTCCACCGAGTGTGATTCTGCTTTGGATTCTGGGATGCTCAGGTAGTGGTACTGCCTCACCTCAGATTAGTCCTGCATCTTTTCTTGGCTATACAGGAAGTCTGTGACAGGTACTGGGGATGAGAGAAGAGAGGCCTCCAATGAGCTTATTGTCCAGTTGAACAAGTGCAGAGTGGGCCACTGTGTACTTTTCCCCCTAATGCAATCACTGAATTTGAAACTTTTACCTTCCAACATTTCTCTTTTATCATTCATCCATTTGCCAGATCTTTGTTTCACACCTTTCAAGGACCTGCATATGCAGTATTATTCTCTTTCCTCTTCATTAGAAAACTTTGATTGGTGTAATTCTATCAAGACACAGGGAAACTTGATTCCTTAACTGGTCCATATGCTTTGCTTGAGGGCACTAGAGGTTGGTTGATGTCTGAAATATTGACACCAACAGCCCTGTCATTGTTGCTCCAAATAGTTCAATCTAGTACTCCAGGCTGAGACAGTTGTGTTAGTTGGAATAAAGTACTCAGTATTACTGAAAAGGAAGGATAATTAACCCTGGAATGGATGAGAAAGATGAGGCAGGTGCTAGGGAAGGCTGCACAGAGCTAATGTCTCACCTGAGTCTTGACCATCAAGTGCCAGGTGTACATGGCCTGAGATCTAGGACTTTCCTACAGCCTAAAGACCCGGAGGCATGGAGGCACATTTTGAATAGGGATCAACCCCACTAGCTGTGGTTTCAGACTGGTTTTGGTGTGGGTATACTAGGAACAGTCTCAGATAAGAATGTGAGAGGCCCCAGTGCCCTGCTGGGTCATACCATATCTGGGAAGCCCTGGAGATTTTAAACAGAGCACTATGGTCTGATACATTTGCCCAGGGGTGGAAAGGAACCATTCCATTGGCCATGCGAGGCTTGTTCACTTTTGTGAGTGACATTGTGAAGCTCTGGTGCCATTACTCTGCTTCACCACTCTCTGAGAGCTTGTCTTTTATTCTGTTGTGCATTGTGGTCATTCGAATTCACTTCACTGGACTGTCAGCTGCACTCTGCGGACTAGGATGTAGCTTTACATTCTTTGCTTTCCCTTATTCCACACTGGGCCTTGCTACACTGACCTGATTTCTGATGATTGTTTCCCTCCTGTTTTTCTTTTTTTTTTCTGCTGCTACTGGGAATGGAACTCAGGGCCTTGCACTTGCCAGGCAGGCACAGCGCCACTTAGCTACATCCCGACCCCAAACTCTGAGACTTCTGCATCAATCCAGAACAAAGCTACTTAAAGGGTGGTCTGCTGACTGCTTGCATCAGAATTACCTGGGCCCTGATCTGGATGTTATGTTGATATTCAACTGAATCAAATTAAGAAAAGAGCCCTGGAATCTGCATTTTATTAGGCAATCCTTCCATCCATCAGGTTTGGAAATTACTAATACACAGGCTACAGTCATTTGAGGGTTTCCTCTGGTTCAGAAGAACCTTCCTGACCATGCAGCAGAACTTCCTGACCTCCCCAGTTCCTGCTGTGGAATTAAGTGAGGCTAGGCAATGAGCTCTGGTCAGTGGAACATGGCTGGAATGACTGGTAACATCACTGAGTCAAGGCAGCATAAATCTCCTTTATTACAGCATGGAGTGCCATGCTGGCACAGTGGAGCTCCAGAAGGGAGGGGTCAGGATGGTGTCCTTGCATGGTCATGCAGCTGGTGGGGCATGAAGAAGGGAACTCTGTTAACTGAGACGTAGGGTTAGTTGGTCACTATAGCATGAGTCTATTGTAACTAATATGCCTATAATAATTTTGCCTACTTTCTAGTAGCAATTATCAAATGAATTGTTTGAAGCAAAGTAGCATAATAAAAGGCCATGAGCTTTAAAGCTAGCCAGGTCCATGTTTGAATTTTGGCTTTGTCACTAATCAGCAAGTTGCTTAAAATCTCTCAAGCCCAGTTTCTTTATATGGGAAATTAAGATAATACTCACCTCACAGAATTTTATTAGATAAGGTGCTATTAGTGGCACAGTATACACAATTAGGTGTCTTCTTCCTGCTCTTGTTGGTCCTTGTCACACATCTGTGGTGTCCATGAATAGCACTGTAGCACAGTGGTTAGGATCAGGGCCTTTGGCTCCAGGTTGTCAGGATTTAATGATAACTTACATTTCTCCCCTTTTACAACAGTGATTGCAGGACAGTGAATCAAAAGCATTATCAGCACAGCTGGGTTAGGCAATATATAAAGAAAATGCTCTGTCCCTCTTGTAGACTTTAGAGTCAGTTTTCTTCCCACAGAATTTGGTTTGAAGGGAGATCTTTTCATCAGATCCAGGCATGGAGAGTCAAGTGTTGCTGAGCTCTTTTTCTCCCCTCCCTGGGAAAACATTTGCCTGTTTGTCTGATAAATAGAACATCCTTCTGTTTGAGATATTATTTGCCACTGTAAAATGAGTTGCTGTACCTAGAATTCTGAGAATTGATGATATTTTTCCACAGGGAGATAAATGCTTATAGCACAAGAAAAGGAGATCATTAGTTTCAGAACTTGTGGCTACAGTTATCTCAATTAGTTGTAAAGATTATGCATTTTATGAGTCACACAAGGCTTGTAAAAGCTCAGTACTTCTATTTTCCTGTGATAGTGTTTATAAATATGAAAATTATCGTAGTAATATTGCTTCTTTTAAAAATGTCATCTTGATGTTCTGTGTGGATGAATTAGAATCACTGGTTTGCAGTGAGGAAGCTAATTCAGACAAGACTGCTGCCTGTCAGCATGTCCTGCTGTGTTAACCAGGAGCTAGGCAGGTGTTAGGGAGCTCTGAGATGCCTGGGACGAGTGAGAGGCAGGAGAGAGGAGCTGGCACAAGGGGGTTCAGGGACAGGTTCATCACAAATTGTCCCACAGAAGCCAGGGCCTAGCTGCTGTTCTGTCTCTGCTAAAGACAGAGGAGCAAAGAAGAGGGTCAGAGACGCTGCAGGAGCATTTAGGTTGGTTTCCAGAAATCTAGCAATCTGCCAGTCAGTGGTGGATATTTCTTTCTGCCTTACCAAAGAGTTTTTTAAAGAAACATATTTTTGTTGCGTTATTAATTTGAATCATATGAAATTGCTGATGTTTGACTATTTTGGTCTACAGAACTGGAAATTTCATTTAGCTTCACCTAAAAATGACATACACAAAGTGCTCTGTTCATAATTGTGCTGCTGCCCAGGACAGCGCCCATCTGTCAAGCCTACCTCCACCACCTGAAGGTCACCGCTACCCCAACTTCACACACTATGTTGAACTCTATATAAAATGGAATCATAATATGTGTGTGCTTTTGTGTGACCTTTTTGTCTCAGTCCGTTTTGGGGGTTCATCCGTGTTGTCATGGCCAGTTATAGCTTGTTCATTCTCACTGTTACAGAGCATTCCTTCCATGGCATGACTGCATCCCTATTTATCTACCCACTTTGTGTCTGTGGATATCTGGATTATTTATTGTTTTTGGTGATTAAATGTAATGCTGCTACTGTTTTTTGGTGAACATATTTGTAATTTTTGTGGAAATGGAGTGGAAATACTGGATTATTTGCGAGAGACTTTTAAAGAAACATTTGGCTAAAAGGAATATCTAGTCTTCACATTGCATGAATCGCCATCTCTTGAGCAGCTATCTTGCATAAAGCATGTAAGGGGCCTGGCAGGTGACACAAAGAAGCCTAAAGTGGGTCACTGTCTTATAGAAGTGAAGGGTAGGAAATATGGCATTGTGGACAAGGAGTTGAATCCTGAACTCAGGGGATATACAGATGCACTCTAGCTTCTTTGTTTATAAAATGGGGACACAATCTCACCTCCTAACAGGGGATAAAGATGAAGTGCTGTAATGTGTGATGAATGTCTCATATAAAGATGGTAAATAGCATGTTCGAGCCAGTTTCTTTTCATTCTTCCACCTCCTTTTCTTTCTATGACTGAGGTGGGAACATCAGTTAATTAAAAGATATAGAGTATCCCAATGTAATTATAATAGGAAAAAGGCCCTTCTCAGGACCACAGGATAGAGCCGAATCATAGACTGGGATCTAGAAACTTTGGAAAGGGCATTCTGAACAGTTGTTCAAGAAATCATTGATAAATTGCATATATAGATGCAATTTGTGTGTGTGTGTGTGTGTGTGTGTGTGTATATATGTCTTTTAATTGATTTGTATCTCCACCTTGGTTATAGGAAGGGTAGAAGGTGAAAGTGG